CAACACGGCGTTGCGCATTCTCTCGTGCCTTTCTAGCAGCTTCGCTCTCTTTGACTTCTCGTTTTCTGAGCCTATGAGGTGTGTCGGTGACATCGCTATGGCCAAACCCATTGCCTCGTTCCCAATCACAGTATGCTTTCAGATGGTAGGACAACTCCTGATAGAACTCCCCATAGCCTTCAACTTCCCGCAATGCTCTACGAACCTTGTTTCTAGGAATCCCCTTGGCCGTGAGCCGGGAACAAGTTACCCAGGAAATGTAGAAGGACGAAGCGCGCATGACGAGCATACTCTCTGTATATTCCAAGTCAGGCAATCGGTCTTGGCTCTGAAGCATCAACTCCAACGCTCGCACAGTGAGCTCTCGAAGATCGGCTTCCTCATATCTGCTGGGTATGCGCTCGGCCATCTGAAACCGGTCTTTGGGAGCAAGGTTGGCAATCAGCTTGATGAGAAGACGACGCGGATCTCGACGCTCCTCCAGCAGATTGGAGTCCAGCTTTTTGAGTGCTTCGTAGTCATCCATGTCAGGCAGAGAAATGGATCTTCTTCTTTGCGATCCCTCTCTTCTTAGAGCGAAGCTGGAACCAAGGTCAGAAACAGGAGACATGCTCTCGTATAGAGTAGGGTCAACCCGCGGCACCTCAACCTGAACTGGATTCAGAGGTGGTGTCGCGATGTCATAGTCATCAGGGTGTGGTGTGTCATCTGTAAGGTCAATGACTTTCGGTGTCTCATCATTGATTACGACAGGCGTTGAGTCTGGTGAACTTGAAGCGGCGAATGGATATCCTCGAGATCTCACCCTTCGTATAGTTCCGGAAACACTGATTATGTCTCCTTCATCATCTGAGGATGAAGAAGGTTGCGTCGCGCCATTTGGATAAGAAATGCGTTGGACGGGTGGTGGTGGTGGTACTTCAGAGTCATCGATGAAATCATCGGAGTCCGAGTCGAGCGATTCAGCATCGTCGCTTCTTTTACTATGCCGATTTATGGACTTCGATAATTTCGAGGGAGGAGCCACTATCGGTGGGCAGGTCTCGAGTCCTATCACATGAATATGATATTTGTGCTTCTGCATTCTGAAGATCGTCTGTTGTAGAGCTTGACATTGGGTTTGTAGCTCGGGTTCCGAAGAGTAGTCAACTTGCTTGATTGCGTCTTTCAGTTTATGCAAGCGACCTTCTAGCTTTTTGAGTGAGCGTGTAAGTTCTTTGATTTGCTGATTACGGCTGTTGCTCCTTGTAGCTGCCATCCATTTCGCCCATGCCTTGGCTGCCTCTTTAGGCTTATAGATTTGCTGCCACTCAGTCTCATATTTCACTATGCATTTCTCAATGATAGATTCGACCGCATCAGAAGTAAGCTTGGCTCGTTTTCCATTCACGGGGGCTCGAGACTCCTCGTCAATCTCCCGCCAAGTCTCCTCGTCGTAGTCACCCTCAGACCCTGAGTCTCCGTACAACGGAAAGGCATCCTGATCATCTTCTTGAGCGGGGTATTTTTCCAGAAGCCATGAATATGGGTCAGACGTCTTTGGCGGTTCAGGACCATTCAAGCTCCTGGAATTCTCAAGCTGTGGCCAGTCCCGGAAATCTTGCTTACTCACTGCAACGTGGCCACCTTTGGAGGTATAAAGAGTAAAAAATCTTTGACCTGCTTTCCCTCCTTTAATTGGATTGTAGGGGATCACAGCCTGCTTGGTAGGGCCCAGTCGCACGGGATCTTGGCGATAAAAGTGAGATAGACATTTATTGACGAAGGTGCGCCTAGCTGGGGGACATTGTGAGCCAAAGATCAAGAACTTGTCGTCTTCTGTCGCGGGACTTGAAGGGTAGAACAACTTGGAGGGCGTGGTCGCGTCGGGTCCCATGTACCATTGCCTGCTCGAAGATTGGTTGGCAGACTTGTCGACAGTTTTGTCAATTGCACTATCAGCTTTGTCTTCGAGTTTGCTTAGATCAAGCTTGCGTCGTTTCCTTCCCTCTCTGTCAATTACCAATTGCTCGCCAGGGCGTGAACGCTTGTGAGACTCCTGTGATGATGCACCGACATTTGATTGAACAACAAGGCTTACGCCGTCTTCTTCGCCATCTTCTTCGCCGTCGTCATCTGGTGTGTGTCTGTCCTCAGCAGTGAAATGTTGCAACTGATCCTGAGGCTCTACTGACTTCACCACTGGGACTGAAGTATTAGGTGTGAAAGAGGGAGGGACGCGGGGGGTCTGCAGAACATCTCGTTGAAGAGTCTCTATGCGAGACACTTGTGTGTGGGATAGAGTTGCGGGGCTTGCGAACGCAGACCGAGTGGGAGACCGAGTATAATCCGGAACGTGATTCCTGAAGGGAGTCGTAGATAGCGTCGTAGATTGAAGGTATTTGGAAGATTTCCGCTGCAGGTATCTAACAGCACTATGCATACTACTGCGGGGCCCAAGAGCTTTTAGACCCAAGTCATCTTTCAAGGAATGAATGTCAACATCATGGAGAAGCACCTCTCCCGTGATCACATTGTCCCGTAGAGCGGCCTCGAAGGTGACAGGATCTGGTCGCGCGACAACCGAGGAAGAGAGAGACCATGGTGCGTCAGGATTATGGCACAGAAACTGTACCACCTCGTCAACTGTCCAGTCGAGGGGATCCCCGCCAGGCTCCATTTCCGTGGGTGATCTGCAGGTACCGGATTAGATTCGATGCCACGTGATCCTCACCGTACTCGAGAAGAAGCTACTTACTAACTCATGCAAGTTGACCAGAACCAATGAAGCGAAAGAGTATCATGATTTTGGTAAACAACAGAGAGCTGTAAGAGGTGATAGAAGGTGAGAAGTGGGCAAGAGTCTATTTAGTGATAAGTAGAAGCGGGTTTGTCGATATCCGCCAGGCGATTGGGTTGTGTACGAAGATGAAAGGTGGAGGCGGACAAGGAGGAAAATGCAGGAGTTCTGGAACAACAGAATCCGCTAGAGAAGTTGTATCGGTGAAGGGCTAATTATTTGTTCTTCAGCCCTGTGAATGGGAGAATGAGACGGTTGCACGGAGTACACCAGGGATTGAAAGTTACCTGGGACGTTAGTAGAGCAAACGGTAAGGTATACGTGAAAGGCAAGTGGGGATACTGTAAAAAAAGAAACAAGATGGACAGGAACGGGTTAATTCGCCATCCAGAGACCTTTTGAATTCTGCCACTAGCAATAAGCGGTGTATAAGGCGGAACAGTGGCCTGATAAGAAATAGTGCACGTAGTTAATGTACTGTAAGTAGGAGTGCGGACCGCATCTTATACTTCCTGATTCCTGATTCTCCTCTATCATGCCAGCTTTAATCACCTCTCGCTAGATCTCAACTCATGCATGCAAAAAGGTCGCTGGGCAAGGATGATTCTGTATAGTCTGTAATGAATGGCCTCAGATACGCTCACTGAGTTTTGAGTCTTAATAGGGTCTAAATAGTTCTCCGCAAGTATATGGCCTGCTTCGAGCCATGAACTATATGGGTATGGCGGGCAGAGTACCAAACTTGAATCAGCCTCCTGTGATAATGGCCAGCATGCTTGTATATCTCTACGGCATGCGCCAAAGACAGACGGTTCTGTTGTCGAAACCTCGATGACCTCGGCGCCTAGCTTGGTCTACCGCTTGCAACTCCCTCCTCGACCGGTCGACAGCTACGCATCCACTGGCCATAGTTCCGTTCTACATGAATATCTATCTTCGCAATAGCCTCACTGCATTCCTTAGCATCTGTTGAGGCCTGGAATATACTCACCATTAGTATACCGGCTCATTTCGGCTTTCGTGACACGCTTCCCCTAATGTTCACGCAAGGCACCATGATCATGTCAACTCAACCTCATTGAATCTTTGCAAACTACCATCCTCGTTACTCGCAACCTCGAGGCAATATTTACGCGGAGGATCAAGAAGTCAAGAGCAGAGAGGATATTGAAAGCTCAGAGTGAATCACACTATTGGCAAACTACGAAGATGTCCAGGTCACCTCACCCATAAAGACCATTTTTCATTATGAAGAAAGAAGCTATCATGAGACAACTCTTGGGTGACTACACACTTTTTCTCTTTTCTCCTCTCCTCCGAATACTCATGAAAACTTCATCTCCTCAATCCAGTTTCGATCAATTTCCTTCCTTCGAAACGGTTCCGACTTTCCCTCCGTTTACTTCATCATCTTTTTGATTTTTATCGAAAGCAGAAGGCTGAAGGGCTGAAGAGGCAAAAGCGTCAGAGCACGGATCATGACCAAATGGCCAACAGCCAATTGAGCGCAATCAGAAAAGAGCGAACATACCGAACACCGAAGACAGAAAACAAAAGGCAGAATCTAAATGGAAAGGTGGATGGCGAGATAAATCGACCTGCCGATCTGCTATGAGAGTCAAGTCAGCGATATGAAGCGGAGGATCACTTTGTTTGACATTCATACTAGCAGTTCTCAGATTCCCAGAAACTGAAGACGCTGCTTGCGCCCTTTCCGACCATGAAGGCTGACATCAAATGTCAAACTCTCCGTCGCCCATTTCCCGGTACAATGTACTTAGGCGCCACGGCTCACGGTCATGATATTCCTGCATGATCTTGTCAAAGAGGCTCTCTGTAGGCTGAGTCTTTGACTCGAAGTCAAACTTTGACTCGTAGTCAAATGAGTCGAACCCCCAAGTCCAGTCCTCGATGTCGACGATGCTTGACACCTGCGCATCTGCAGTCAATTCAGTGCCCTCTGAAAGTGGTGCCCATCTGGCACGAAGCGCGATCTTTTCTTCCTCAAAGAGAGGCATCCCAAAAGAGGCAAAGAATTCATCCGTCTGAGCCCACTGAAACTCATCTTTGATATCTAACTCGGTATCATACGGATGGCACAAAGGCTCTAAGAGAAAGACAAGGGTCGTTAGCTCAATGCTACCAATGTGACCCGAGACACATCTGCGGTCAAGGTACGAAATCGACACAGGGCCTGGCTAAACTCACCGATCCATGCACGCTCCTCCACAACAAGCTCAGGAGCTTGTTTGTTGGCAGATGTCGAGACTGGGATTTCAGTCTTATGGACGTCCGATTTGTTCTTTTGCGAGTGTTTGGAGATTTTCTTTGCCAGCTTCTTGCCCTGGTACAATGTTGGAAGGGGAATTCTGCCGCCAGCTTCTCCTAGGACTGGGTTGATCAAGCCTGGAGTAAGGCCACGAGTGGTGTTGAGGGCGAGGCAGATGCCTGCGGCCTCCAATTTCTCCTCGATTTCCTTACCCAGAGCAATGCTCTTCTTGTTTCCGGAGTCCCAGGCACACAGGGAGAACGCTTGACGAAATCGGACGCCTCTTTGCTGGAGGGCATTGGGCTTAACAGTGTGGCCCTTGGGCATTCTGTCGAGGATGTCCTCAAGTCGAATGCGGCGGTCCAATCGGACCCAAGCCTCCACCCGAAACTCCTCAACATCCGTGGGGATCTGGTCAGGCAGCACAGGAATATCTTTCAAGTACTTTCCGTTGATCGGATATGTTTTCTTCCCTATCTTGGCCTTGCTCTTGGACCCGACGGGATGGAGTTGATACAAGATGTCGGGGAGATTGTCCCATGACCAATCCTCTTGCTCAGCAAGGGTGTGTTCTGGCACAGAGCTTGCATCTCCGCAAGCAACCTGTAATGCTGGTGTTCCTATTGTCATCAGCGGCCAGCCTTGCCTGCAGAGCCATGGCCATACCTTCGTTGGGTTGGTTGATTCCCTGGACGTTGAACATCTGGTCGGTCCGCAGGGCCACGGGCATACCTTGATTGAATTGATTGATTCCACTGACGTTGAACGTCTGGCTTGTCCCTAGGGCCATGGGAATACCTTGGGTGGTTTGGTTGTTTCCCTTGACGTTGAAGGTCTGGCTCAATCCCAGTGGCACATTCATTCTGACGAGAGAGCTACTAGGGTCTTAGCACAAGCTGCTCAACCCTGCGAGGAACTTTCGATAGAGAGGGTGCTCGAGTAAAGACAAGAACAAGAAGGTGAGATTTTATGAGAAAGAGGAGCCAATTCGAAGCCGAATGAAGTTGAGGGCTTTCACGAGAACGGAGTTGATGTGAGATACGAAGACAGTATTGGTCGAGAACTGTTGAGAATAGAGAGCAGACAAGGATTAAGATAGATATTCTGTGTTGGAACACCTCGTCTGTCGGTGACTCGTTTATGGGGGGCTGGGACTTGGGGCTTCAATTGGGGTAGATGTTTCAGAAGTCTCAATGAAATGTGAATAGGGCTCTCTAGCTTACTCGCGAAATGCGCTCGCTTCACTCGGAGTCTCTTGACAATGCGATATCATTGCTCGCAAAATCATTGACAGTCAATGTACTGCTGGACAATGTATGAATTGCGCGTTCACTAAGATGCTGGCCCGGAGAAGGGTGCATTGCTATGAGAGCTATTATACAGAAAGGCAAGTATACAACTTTCTTCTGCTGCGAAACCAGAGCAACGGGCGGTAGCCGTGAGGTGTCAACCTCTTTCGAAAGCCCAGCCACGCACATATTGTGACCAAGTGAAGCCCTGTGAGAACTCCTAGGTCTTATTTGGAGCGGGCAAATAAGCTTGTGAGAAGCCTTGACAATAGCTATATCTACCAGGTGATTCTATTCTTCCTCTATGGACCCGCATGTGGATTCAGACACAAAGAAAGCCGGGGAAAGCTTCAGACAATGAGCTTTGCAGTTTGTACTGTGTACTAGAGGTCTCTCTTTGTCCCAAGGGACCCACCTTATGAAATCGAGTGGCTGGGAATTGCCACTGTATTCGAAAGTTATCCCACCCTCTTGTGCTTTAGAACTTTGGAGTAGGTCTTATCAAAGTTTGCCTAGCTAATCTATCGTAGGCGGTTGAGCTGCTCTAGGCGATTTCGAATGTGCTTCCAATTAGTTGTGACAATATCAACCCGGAAGAGGCCGAGCACCTCAAAGCTGTGTATCCCCTATCTTTGATGATTATCCTCACTACTATTAACATGATAAGCTTCTTTTGTTATTGCACATAGCTTAACAATAACTAAATCTTATTTCTTTCTAGCGTATGGTGTCATCAACACACCAGAGTAACACCAGTTACGTCATCGACTGTTACCTTCCATAACTCTGGATTTGCTTTCATGATGATTTGACACTGGACTTGATAGAGAAAAACTGCTTAGCGGTCAAGGGGTTGTAGTAAGAATAGTGTGTGGTCTTGAAGAACCTGATATTGACTCGTGTCCTGTAGTCGGACTAGAAGTATACAGCAACCAATAACAGGATGAGCCAAGACAAATTCCCGATACTTAAGATAGTGCTTTCTTCCCTTCCCACTGCATCAATCAGTCAAAACAAGATCAGCACTTCCAGTGTTCATTCAAGCGTACTATACTGCGCTTAAAAATTGCTATATTATGTTTCTGTCTGGTTCGATTATCCAAGAAGTCAATCAATCATTCCATTTCAAATATGACTACACCCCCTATCCTCCGTCTGATTCCGGCCGTAACCCCGAAGTCCCGTGTCGCATCTCAACTCCCCAGGCGGTACAGTCTTCAGATAACCTGCAACGTGAAGCCGAACGCTTCCAACAACCGGGAAGGCATTGTCGACATAAGTGCAGACCGGGTTTCTGTATGCGTCGCCGCAGTGCCCCGGAACGGCGAGGCAAATGCAGCTGTATCTCGCATTGTCGCACAAGTAATTGCCCCTTCGGATTCTTCCATTTCCCTGTTTCTGTGGTCCCTCGTAGCATAGACAGTACCGTCCTTGATCTAGCTGATACCAACTAACAAGCTCAGGCGTTTAAAGTGCCCAAGTCAGACGTGGAAGTAATCCGGGGGCTCAAGTCGCGCGACAAGATCCTCAGCATCGCTAATCTGGAGATCAGATCCCAGTCCGAAGCCGATTTCATTCAACAGGCGCATGAGAGGTTGAGAAAGGCATTGATCTGATCGCTCTTCAGATCTGGTGATTGGGTTATCTTCGACCGATAGCTGCTGCCAGACACATAGCGGGAACGGCGGTCGCGCCCGTGACATCACGGAAGACGGGAAACTCCCCGACTTTTTTTCATCCTCCGATTGTACCGCAGTTCAACAGTCTCTACCGAACCTACTTTCCACGAAAAGGAAACCAGAGTTATCCTTATAATTAGCTTAATACCAGGATCACTCTCAACATCAGTCGAAATGTCCACCACGTCACAATCTCACCCAACAGAACCAGAGAGCGCGAAGCGCAAAGCCCCGACCGAGCAAACCTCCTCCACACCCACCTTGACATTCACCACGCGCAATCCCCTCTGGACCTACCTCAAACTCCAATTGTATGCTCCTTTCTGCTCTCTCTCTTGTCTTATGAACTTCATTCATCAATTGTATCACAGAACGCATCAGCCTCCCGTCTCCCAATCAACCCTCACCCAACCACTCGACCCTCTCACAGCGCGCACCTACCTCTCCGCCGCACTCAACCAATTCCTCGGGCTTTCCGGCACGGCCATTTCGATTGATATATTGAAGATCGAACCTTTCACCGGCACAAATGCCAAGACAATTTGGATTCGAGTCCCCGCACCGGATGCATCAGCCGTCGTCGCAGCGTTGAGTTCGTGGGTCGGGGGTAGCAGTTTGTCGGGCGATGCGAATGGCGCTGGCAATGTTGCCTGGCGGGTTTGTGCCAAGGGAAACTTCCTCCAGGCCCTGGTGAATGGTTCCGGTGCAGAGATGTTCGTTCCGTGAGTGCCTGGAATTGGTATAGCTTTCTTTTGAATTGATTGGGCCGTTCATCTGAGGAGAGGTCTGAACCATCGACTCGGTGCTGGACTGCGCATGTTATGCGTTACCTGCCCAGATGCTGCGGAAGCGTGCTCAGCGACTGAGGCCGCGGTCATTCCGTTTACTGGAGCTGCATCCGTGTTCTACACCAACTACCCGGCCATCTCTGGGGTTTGCCTGGGTCCCATACACACAGCGGTTCCGGCACGATGCCTAGCGAATGGATATTGAATGGTTGCGTGGTGGGTGAATTGGTGATAAACATGCAACAGCCCTCCTTTTGCCGGACGGACTCGGCTCTATGTAACAATAGGCAGAGGGTTGTGGTGGACGTTTGGTAGATTTGTTGAGGAGCAGTTTGTCTTGGTTGGAGGAATCGACTCGAGCCGAGGTGTATATAGCTCACTTGCTCCGTTAGTTGCTCAGGAGATTGAGAAATATGGTGCGATTATAGACGCCGGCATAAGACTTACTAGACAGCCTGTATCTACTGCTTCCTTCCCTCTCCGGGCTCAAGATGAACCCCAGCATATCCTCTGATCTTCTATACCTGTAAGACTACCTAGTAGCTTGCAAGATAGACGGATATCCCACCAGCCTTCAATTGATAGGGTTTACTTTCGCTGCACAAGACTCACTACATTTACACGACTGTATATATACACGTACTGTGAGCTACAAGCCAAGCCTTTACTTGAAGCCATAACTAACGAGTCTTATCGCGCAACTGATAATACTCTGAAGACGCAGCAAGATACCCCGTCCCCTGCATTGACTGCGCACAGCCCGTAGGTGAGAGTCAGTGTAACCCGGTGCTTTGTCCATTGCCCCTAGCCAAGTTGACTGCTGGCCTTATTCGCCCCCTCAACCTGCGACATGTTACGTTAACACCTTCTAATAGTAAGTGACTTAGCGACGCTCGTTTTCCAGGTTTCTCTCGGAATTAAGTATCTTGATCAGCCTTGCGAACACTGATACTTCGCACATACGCACGATTCCCCATTCTGCGGGAGGCTACTACTGTACCATAATCTAGTTGTATTACGAAAGGTCTGTTCTTCGCGGAATGCATACCATTCCACAACATTACAGTCCCTGAAAGAAAGGTCAAAGAGCTGACAAATACACCCTAACGTAATCGGTAAGCGAGTCGGCCATGTAAGCCAGTCGGCCACCTGTGTATTGTATATACAAAGCTGATTTTAATCTTTGAATAGTTCAACAA